ACTGAATTAGCACATAAAGAAAACAACAAGCTGTGTCTGTAGGTATAGGGAGATAGGTTATATTCTGTTGTTAAAGGGGCAGCGCAGTCACGACTTTCTGATTCAGTTTCCAGAGGTGGAGGAGGTTTAAAAAAGGTATAATATAGGGCATTTAGAGAGAAGCAGCCTAGGAGAAAAATTATAGTAAAGGACTTTGCAGGCTTTCAAGGTAATGTGTCACCCAAGAAATTTGCAAGTGATTCCCCAGAACAAGGTCTGAAAGGTTTTTCACAGCAATATCCAGACGTGAGCACAATTTCTCTCTAACCTACTCTAACCAAGTAGTCTTTTTTAAGTTAATTGTACCTTAACTGTAACGTATTTTTATTCAAGTAGTTTGTACCTTAACAGTAACCAACGGGTGCACCATACAGTTCAGCGAACTTCTGGACCAAGGACATTTTTTTCAGAAGATCAATGCCACTCTCATATCTGTCCGTTAAAATATGAAAATACACCCAGCAGCCGTTTACCTTACCGTAACACAAAGACCGGAAAGCTAGTCTGGCTCTCTCCACAGTAACAAAATCTACCTAGCAGCACCTCTAAAACTCACTGAATAACACTTTATATTTGACATTTGCTGGTATGTTGTCTAATGGTACTGGGTACTTCATGTCTGTTGTGTGTGTTTGAAATGTCAATTTGTTTTAAAAAACACCCATATATTTCATTTGTTTGTTAATAGGAAAAAATAAGTTTTAAAATGACTAAATTCCTAGTTTCATGGGGGTTTGGTGCTGGACTGTTTCTTTCTGGAGGTAGTAATTTACTGGAGTCTTTGCTGGTTGCCCGGCAACTGCTCAGAGCCAACAAATAACCCCCCGTAAAATGGTGAATTGTCATTTTTACAGTTGGGCTTTTGTTTGATATAACGTGTTAATTAGTGAGTTTAAGAGGTGCTGGTAGGCAGATTTTGTAACGGATGGTAAGAGCCAGGCTAGCTTTTTCCCACTGTTTCCAGTCTTTGTGTTAAGCTAAGCTAATTGGCTGCTTGTTGTAGCTTCACATATAATGGACAGATATGAGTGTGGTATTGATCTTCCCATCTTTAATATGCAATAAACACATTTCCGTAGATGTGAAACTATTCCTTTAAGAAAGTGTTTCAGTTTTTGATTAACACCAATACTCTTTCATAATGAGAAGGACGTTTTTCAGCAAATTGATACTCGTCTCTGGCTTTGGGTCCATATCACCTGGCGTAACTAGATATCAGCATAACAGCATCCATTTCAATATAGTTATACTATAGTCTGCCAATAATTTAAATATAAAATTTGTAGAAATTGGCACCTGGAGCAAGCGGCCAGACATTGATTAGTATTTAATATGTTGCTTTCTGAGGTGTGGCAATGACCTTAAACTGCCACTGACATTCAGATATACTGCCTAAACAATTCATGTTATCATAGCTCAAAGAGAAACATTGTACCTGTTGACTCTTTTTCTTTCATTCAATCCAAGTGCTTTTTTTATTTCAGTGTAAAATGCAACACAAAAACTCAGAAAATGTTCAGAGCTGGTGTGACCAAAGGTTGAATGCCGTAATTAGGTAGGCATATTTTTCACATATTTCTGCATCAGAGTGATGTGAAATGCTGTCAAGTAAGATCATGGCAGAGCTACCTTAAACCCCATTTAATAACATTATCCTCACTACAAGGTTAATATTGCGCCCTTTTGGTGTTGGCTTTTAACAGTACGATTGATAGTATGTAAACTGGATTGAACAATTCTGACCACTCGTACACACATACACACAATCTTAAGAATGATTTGTGTCTGAAATTACCCAGTAATAAGTTTCACCATTAACAGCCAACACAGAAGTAGAAAACCGAACACTTTTGCAGCCACTTGGTAACTGGATTTTCATTAGTGGGTGTGGAATTTCAAAAGATTTATGTTTCTGTTTGCCAAATGGAAACCCCCTTCAGCCCTTAATATCAAGTGTCCATCCTATGGCAGCAGTAATGCTTGCAATGTCTCAGCGCTGTAACCTAGCAACGAGACCCCCACTTATATAAGATCTTGTTTATGATGGTTTTTTTTCAATAAGGAACAACAGATGACAAAATCATATATTGTGCATCATGAAATGGCTGTATCCGAAGTCCTTATATCACACATTCACTATTCCCCAGATAATAATAAATGCTTCATACGTAACAGTGAGCAGTAAATTGACATTCAGTCATCCTCGTCATTTTGCACCACAATTGGTTTCAATTTTAGCAAAACATAGTTAACATGCAATGGACACGAGATTCCTTGTTCTGCTGGTGGAATTTTTAAACTAAACATAGGAAATTGTGAGTGACTCACATAAAGTTGATGAAAGTAAATATCTGGACATTGTCTTACTACTTACCTAAAGCAGTTTTGGTTGTTTTCAAAAACTCCAAATGCCTAAGGTCTGAATTGTTTGATGGTGACTAACTACTATAGTTTATAAAGACATGGAACAAAAACATGGCTTATTGTCTGCTGAATAAATTACTGTTCAGTTCAGTAAAAGTTTGCCACATCTTATTGTCTAAAGTTTGTCTGTTTGTCTATTGATCTTTTATTCTGTTTCCCGGACTTGGTTGTTATTCTCTGCTTGGGCAAACAGTGTTATACAGTAAAGCAACTCATCTATAGTGGCTCTGAGCTAAAAAAACTGAGGGCTCTTCATCTGAACCTTTGAAAACCTCCTGCCAAGAGAGATAGGATCAGTAGACAACCCCAACATTTTCAATTTTGTGCTATCAGACACTGAGGAGATGTGTCAACAGTGGGGTCCTACAGCAAGTAAACACAGGAGTCTGACAAGCAATAAGCTAGATTCAACATCGCCTCCGGTCCTCTCCCACTGAAGGTCCGCCACTTTCGTCTCATTTAGATCCAGATCTGTTGATCAAAAATGACGCCTATCCCCCCACAAAACAGAAAACACCAGTGATGAGAATGTTTTCTGGGGCACTCCCTCATATCATCGAGGGTAGTGCCTGTGTAGGGCTAGGTCAGTACAGGCTGGGAGAGGTACCATTTGTGAATGATGGATGTGTTTTTCCTTGAGCCATAGAGGTTCCAGTTATATGAGTATTAATGCTTTTAATGATGGACCATCCTGTATTTGACTGTGGGCTATTTGCTTTTATTATACAATTAGTGCACATGGTTTTAATGTAGTAATGTGGGCTTCATGTTGACAATAGATACTTTTTTATTATGATGCATTATGATACATATTGTTTTGCTTTTCATTTTAATTTTACAACATTGGAAGAGGGAAGACAAGGGCAGTAAGATTAATATAAATAGGTATAAAAAAACGAATTAAACATATGGTTGATATTGTCATTATTCATACTGCATGTTCTTAGCAGCATCCCCTGTATTGTTGCTCATAATACAGCGAAGAGGAGCAAATGAGGGTGGCAGCAGCTAAACTGAACAGAGCTCAGTGACAAAAGAGACCATGTGACTTCCAAAAAAGTGTTGGTGGGTTTAAAGTGGAACTCGGGAAATTGTTGAATCAACTTTTCTTTTGTTAGTTTTTAGCAGGCATCAGGAGGGATCATAGGGCAGAATAGTTTGAAGCCCCAGACGACTGAGAAGCCATTACTGTATGGCACAGTCCACTGCAGAAAAGCTCCCTCAGAGATTCAAATCTTGCCGATTAAAATAGTGTCTCATAAGCCTGTGTGTGTGTGTGTGTGTGTGTGTGTGTGTGTGTGTGTGTGTGTGTGTGTGTGTGGGCCCATGTGTGCTTAGTTGAATGTGTTTAAATGCCTTTGTGGGTGGCTGCATGTGTGTCTGTATGTGTTTTGAGCAGCCTAAATACCGAAGCTTTTAACATCAAAGCTCCAAGAGGATTTAAGTGCCCAGAAACTTATAAATTATGATGGTAAGTGATGTCCAGCAGGGACTGTTGATGAGATGCCCTCAATAGAAAAGAACTTTTTGTTGTTTCTGTTTTGAGAATATGCTTTTTAGGGACTTGGATTTATGATACACAGCTTCCAAACCACCTGAAGTGTAGCCTGGTACTGTAGACATATGAATCACTGCCCACATCTCAATTTTTATTGAGTGATTCAAAGAGGTCTGGCTTTGTTCTTGTGAATAGCTGTTTGAGAAACAACTGCGCCAGTCGAAGCCTTTGTGGGTGGAACTAACTGACAGCACCAAGCTTTGTCAGGAAATATTAAACATAGTCATGGTCCACAGCTTAATCACTGCCCATGATATATTTAGCTCTGTTTAACTATAAAATAAACATAAATTAATCATACCGTTGATGATCTCATGAATTTATCATGCAGACACAGACTACTTAAAACATCCCTAGCAAGCTACATTGGCTAACACGTTAGCAACCAATAGAGTAATTCTAAAAATCTGTTCAAATGATTCTGTTTTTCCTCATATCATCATGTCAAATCACAAGGTTTTTTTGGGTATCAATACAGTAACATAATGCCTGCAAAGTCTCTACAAAAACAATGCCATGCCTATTATTTTCCATTGTCAAGACACCTTGTCATGTGTTACTGTCTTTTAACCAAATGATTATGTTCTTTTACTTAAATTAACTGTACATTTCAGCAGTAAGTTTTGATTGAAAATGTCACCAGAGCGGCTGGAAACTAGTGATTGGCAAGGGGGAAATTAAATCCTCCCCCCTACAGGGAAAATTTAACAAGATGGTAATGTCAGACTGAATCATGGAGTCTTAGTAAAAGCTAGTATGGTTTTACTGAAAGTGAAGGGTTATTTAAGTATAGCATGTATCTCTACTGCATCTGCTTGTATAAAACTGGAACACAGGCTAGTTCTCACTGTAATATCCACCATGCCTTCCTTTACTTTCTTATGTAGTATTACGTATAGACGATATTGGATGAACCAGAGATTGCAGATTTGAAATGCTAATCTTGTTTCTGTATTTTTTATTTTTTTTTAACCTCTAGTTCCTCCCAAGATATATGACATTTCCTCTGACATCACGGTAAACGAGGGCAGCAACGTGTCGCTCATCTGTACAGCCAGTGGGAAACCTGAGGCAACCATTTCCTGGAGACACATAACCCCATTAGGTGAGTTCACTTCACCTCTCACATACCTATGCTAATGAGTGGGTGGATGGATAAATGGATGGACGGACGATACGATGGATGAATAGAGAGAGGAAATGAGGAAGCATGAACGGGATCAATAGGTGATAGACCGAGGACGAGAAAGGACTAATAGTTATGTTGCAGATGAAGGGATGGAAAGGGGGAAGGGATGGAGCGAGAGATAGATGAGGTTGGATACTTTCATGACAGAAAGAGACGAGGGATGGATAGATGTTGTAATATATTCAAGTGAACATACAGGGTATGGAGAGAGTGAGACATGAGTACATATTGAGAGCCTACAATGATGTTGCCTTTTAGCATTGCCTGTTGAAGGGCATAAGCAATGGCTAAATCATTATTTGCCATTGTTCTAAATAGCTTGAAAGATAGTAAAATAAAATAATTATTTGTTTTTATGCATAAATATAGCATGTATCCCACTCAACCTCAGTTTAACTTTGAGGATGTCTAGATAAAATGATAAATAAAACCCAACTAAATCACATAGAATGAATGATTACTGATGTGTCGACACTTTACCATATTGATATGTTTTACCCTCAGTTCAGATTCATCCACAGACTGGTCCGTCGCACATAATGGGGACTATGTAGCTAATGCAACCACATTCTGCTGCAGGCTGACCGTATAAGATTTGATTTAGTTAAGTAAGTAATTTCATGAGTAGCCAAAGTTTCCTGAGTCATTGCACCACCAACAAATCCATATGCAGTTTCTCACAGTCGGTATTGTAAAATTGTGTACTCTGTGGACTCCCCAGCATTAAACAATGGCAGCTGTTAGATGATGTGACCTTCTTTACTATAAATAATGAAATCAGCTAAAAACAAAAAACTATCTATCCTAGAAAAATGATCCATATGCCCTATGTCAGTGGTTTTTCCATCAGGTACCCCATTTCTATCAGGGAGTAAACTGATAACCCCTGACTAAGTGACATGTTTTATGGATATTATATATTATATTCAATGCATAACAATACGAAAAAAAATGTTGTTCTTGCTTTTCTTGGGCAACAATTTCAGTATTTTATTTGTTTTATAGCAGAGAGTGAACGCTCTATGAATATAGCTTTTGTTCAGGTCTTCACCCTGCCCTTATCCTGTGAGATTTAATTTTATATCTTAAATAATAATGTAAATACACAGAAATGAATTAAATGCAGAGATATAGGCCTACTGTGTATATTTTTCAAAGGTTTTCTTACACCCTTAAAAATCAAAAGGTCCTTCAATAAAGATGAAGGTTGGGAACCAGTGCTGTAGATTCCAAGTGTCAGTATTAGAAAATTAAATATACTGTATCCCCTAAGATGTTGCTACTTGTGCACTTCCATTTTAAATTGAGACTCTTTAAGCAGTTAACAAACAACAAAAGATAGACTAAGCCATAGATTTTGTTACTTGCTCAAGGCAGTAGTTAATGTGTTAGCAGAGAACATCCTGCCACAAAATCAAACATGTTGATGAGTATTGAGGAGGTTCTTATCACTGCAGGGAGACCTCCGGTTTGCTTTGGCAGTCTGTAAACTATCATTTAAGGTGCACTAGCAAAGAATATCTTTATTATTATCATTATAATTTATTTAGGTGGCTGCTAGTCAGAGCACACATAGATCATTAAGTGCTTTGAATACTGAATCCTCCCTTTGAAAACTCATTCCAAAGCATTTAACTGTTGCTGCAAAGCCCCCACCCAGCCATTTCCAGTCCTCCCTCATTTTCATATTAATGGATTAGAGCCTGCTGTGCTTATCTGATAGCTGTGAGGATGACTGCATTTATCTTATGGCTGTCAAATCCTCCTCTCTGGTGCTTGCCCTGATTGCGTTAGGGGAGTTTTCAGAAGATGATCAAAAGAGCCATCCTCAGAGTCCAGAGTGGCAGTCACTCATTCTACTTTGAAGTGTCCACACTTTGAAGTATGCCAGGGAAGAAATGATATGCTGGTCAAATGAGAGGGCCCGAGACTAAACGTAATCACAGGACTGTCTCCTAGCACATCAGAAAAGAAGCCATTTGCCATGGGATCTTTGAGTCAGTTATTGTAGTAAGGGCGATTTGTCCAAAGGACGTGGTACAACTGAAAGGTTGTAATAGGCTAATTACCTATCGATGGAATTCCTTTAAATCTGTTGGATATGCAGAACAGTCTGCTCCAACCAGTGCACAGGCAACATGAATGTACAGTCACGGCATATGGAATATCTCACTTGTTGCAAACCTGCAACTGAACTAGTGGAACTACCATTAACACACAGACACCAAAAAACATTAAAAAAAACATCAAAGAAGGACAGGTTTTTAATCCCAGGTAGTGAATATAGTCACCTTCTTTAAAGAAAGTTATAAAACCTAAAAGAAACTTTTATGTATAGTATTAATGTTAAAACAGTTATGTCCTTCATCACATTTGCTTTGGAAATTAGTGTTTTTGTGGCCAACTAATGTTCAGAGACTGTTGGTTCAAACGTTCACACATTATTTTTTATTTTCTTCAGCAAAGGTTTATGGAGATTAACAAACTGAAACTTTGCCAAGTTCTGTAATCTGACAACACATACACGGCATGAAGAAATCTGTAGCTAACACAGAAAACACATGCAAATACACAAGCTCTGCTGGTCAAACACTAGGGAAATTCTCTCAACAACTGAGTGTGGTCAAATTGGCAAATGTGTTTAAATTGCTTGTGTTTTGTCTATTTGCAGAATTTGCATCATTTCAAATGCTTGTTTAGCACATACTATCAAATTATAGTATTATATTAAAGTAGAGAGAAGAGATGTGCATTTGTAACACAATCTATAAGAAAAAGTAGTATAGTAGTACTATAGTATTAAAAATACACATTTCCAACTTACATGGTCAAACTGATTCTATGGTGAGTGTATCAAACCATGACTTGGACATCGTGAATCATACTAATACCAGTGGTATCGGACCTCCATCACAACATTTTGGCTATTTATATTTGGTAGGAGTAATAGCTTTCATTGACGTGAGGCCAAGCAGGTGAAATGGCTGTAAAATGACAAACATGTCTACTGCACATGGCAGGTTTTATTTGCTGGCCTTACTGTGTTCAACACTCAGCCATTTTGGGTTGGGGGTGGAGATTTTTCGCACTGTAGATAGTTCTGCTGCGGCAGTCAGTGAAGTTTGACAGAATGATAAATTGCCCTGACTGACTGTCAAGTTCCTATTCCCACTCCGACTGTTTTGTGTTTGCATTTTTTCCTTCTCTCCCCTTCCTGCCAACCAGCAAACTGCCAGCTAATAATAAACTTTGTGCATCCAGTGAAGTGTGGCCATAAACTGTTTATTGAGACGATAATTTGGCTCAGTATGTGTGCACATAAAGTCAATGCATATTCCTCAATTAGAGAGATGCAAACTGAATGAAGTACTTGTAACACACAGATCATCTTTGTTGACATGTTACTAGAAGAAGGACTGGTGCCAGCATATGTCTGGAGCTTAATGTGCTTAAGGACTCATTGCTGTTTTGTGTAACAGTTTAATTACCCATGTAAAAATTTGCCTGACAGTGAAGTCCTCAGGAGTTTGGGGTGATTGCTGCATGATAAGGGCGCTTAGGACTGGAAAGCCCGCTCAAGTCCCCTTATCTGGTGAAATCTGGATGTGCAAAGTGAGTGTTTAATGCTCTCCCAACCCTTGAGCAAGGATTCTGCTCCATGGTTGTATCTCACTTACCAGTTGAAACTCACTAATGGGAAACTAGTTTTTATAAATCAATAGGATCTTTTATGAACCTAGAGCTGCTGCCCCAGGCTTTTGGTGTCATTGAAACATGTTCTCAATCTACTTATATGGTTTAATAAAAGCTGAATTTAAACCAAAAAAAAAAAAATCATTAGAAGAGATACATTGGTAATACTCCTAGAAGTGTCGTTATGAATGTAGCTCTTGACATTGCTACTTACTTTATTCCTAAACTGACAATAGCGTGGGTGAAGTGTCAGCCTTTCAGGGTATTGCCTACGTATGGAGTACTGTGCTGTGGTTGCTCACTACTCTTCATAGGTCATAGGCAGGGGGGTAAAATAGCCTTTAACATAGTCTGTTTCATTCCGGTTTGGTTGGGTGGATGGCTGGATGGCTGGGCAAAATTGCTTTGATAAGCTTTTTCCATTGAGATTTGAATCCACAGGATAGAAGTGTGACCTTTGAAAAGGCTGACTAGAATACTAGTATACGTATTTGATTGTTTCCTGTGATAGGACTCAGCTGGGGCACATTTTTCTCTCTCTTTCCAAGCAGCTACTGTACACATATCAACTGCATACTGTATATGTTTTTTTTTTCATTTAAGTGCATATCTTCCTCTAACCACTCAGGAAAGAGATAGCAACATCCTCTACACTGACAACTCACTACAGTGTGTGTACTGTTACTTAAAGCTGGATCTGACAGAACTTGCTTGGTCCTGAACTAAGTGGCAACAGCAAGTGCATAAGTACAGTAGCTCAGTTGGTTTTTATGTGAATGGAGTAATGAATTATTCAGACTTGACTTCATATCACTGCTACATACCTTGAGTTGAGCCTGCCATGTCGCACTGGAATTTGGCAGCTCTTTAAGAGATGCTAAGCAAGTTTTTGGCGGCCTGTTCACCGGGGATCTCTCATTCACCACCGGGTTCCTTTTCTCGTAGTTTGCAATGAACTGATGTGCAGTTCAAGGGCTGACACTTGAGCATGCTTTAAACACGGTGGGAGGTGAAAGATAAAGAGTTAGGCACTGCATTTCAAATTTCAAATATCAACAGCAGGAGCTGTGTCGAACACTTCCCCATTCAGCTGTTGAGCTGAGTATTGCGAACTAAAGAGGTGCTCAATGGGCACATGCTTTATTGGAGTGTCTGTAACGTGATGAATAGTAGACCTTTTTTAACTTAAATGTGATATTGAGTTACTGTCACACTACACATAT